TCTATTGGCCTCCCTGGTCCCTAATTACCAGTGTGACTCGTTAGTACTTAGTGCTTTACGCCACCCCACTGCTTGCCCCGTCAATTACTCTAATCATCATGGAGGGGTGAGGTCTCCTTTGTAAACGTGTTAATTAAGACATAGCCAAGGCTGGTCATTTACTGCCTGGCTAAGCTCAGTGGGCCTTTAAGTCCTGGGGCGTGTTCAGTAGGGAACACCATAGCAAAACATTTCATAACGGAAAATGAAAAATAGCGTTTCTTATTAGACAAGTTCTGGTTGTTCCTCCCCAATTTCACTTCCCTTTTAAAACCTTTTCTCCTTACTGAACATGGGTCTGATCTATACTGAATAAAAATATAAAGCACAACATGCAACAATTTGAACAATTTTACTGAGTTACAGTTCATATAAAAGGAAATCAGTCAATTGAAATAAATTAATTAGGCCCTAATCTATGGATTTCACATGACTGGGCAGGAGCGCAGCCATGGGTGGGCCTGGGAGGGTATAAGCCCACCCACTTGGGAGTCAGGCCCACCCACTGGGGAACCAGGCCCAGCCAATCAGAATGAGTATTTCTCCACAAAGGGGCATTATTACAGACAGAAATACTCCTCAGTTTCATCAGCTGTCCAGGTGGCTGGTCTCAGACGATCCCGCAGGTGAAGAAGCTGGATGTGGAGGTCCTGGGTTGGTGTGGTTACACATGGTTAGCGGTTATGGACGTACTGCCAAATTCTCTAAAACAACGTTGAAGGCGGCTTAAGGGAGAGAAATGAACATTCAATTCTCTGGCAACAGCTCTGGTGGACATTCCTGCAGTCAGCATGCCAATTGCACACTCCATCAAAACTTGACACATCTGTGGCATTGTGTTGTATGACAAAACTGCACATTTTAGAGTGGCCTTTTATTGTCCCCAGAACAAGGTGCACCTGTGTAATGATCATGCTGTTTAATCAGCTTCTTGATATGCCATACCTGTCAGGTAGATGGATTATCTTGGCAAAGGAACATGTTCACTAACAGGGATGTAAACAAATTTGTGCACAAAATTTGAGACCAATAAGCTTTTTGTGCGTATGGAAAAATTCTGGGATTTTTATTTCAGCTCATGAAACATGGGACAAACACTTTACATGTTGCGTTTATATTTTTGTTCAGTATAGAAAGGGATACAGTGAGGGAAAAAAGTATTTGATCCCCTGCTGATTTTGTACGTTTGCCCACTGACAGAGAAATGATCAATCTATAATTTTAATGGTAGGTTTATTTGAACAGTGAGAGACAGAATAACAACAAAGAAATCCAGAAAAACGCATGTAAAAAATGTTATAAATTGATTTGCATTTTAAATGAGGGAAATAAGTATTTGACCCCCTCTCAATCAGAAAGATTTCTGGCTCCCAGGTGTCTTTTATACAGGTAACGAGCTGAGATTAGGAGCACACTCTTAAAGGGAGTGCTTCTAATCTCAGCTTGTTACCTGTATAAAAGACACCTGTCCACAGAAGCAATCAATCAATCAGATTCTAAACTCTCCACCATGGCCAAGACCAAAGAGCTCTCCAAGGATGTCAGGGACAAGATTGTAGACCTACACAAGGCTGGAATGGGCTACAAGACCATCGCCAAGCAGCTTGGTGAGAAGGTGACAACAGTTGGTGCGATTATTCACAAATGAAAGAAACACAAAATAACTGTCAATCTCCCTCAGCCTGGGGCTCCATGCAAGATCTCACCTCGTGGAGTTGCTATGATCATGAGAACGGTGAGGAATCAGCCCAGAACTATACGGGAGGACCTTGTCAATGATCTCAAGGCAGCTGGGACCACAGTCACCAAGAAAACAATTGGTAACACACTACGCCGTGAAGGACTGAAATCCTGCAGCGCCCGCAAGGTCCCCCTGCTCAGGAAAGCACATATACAGGCCTGTCTGAAGTTTGCCAATGAACATCTGAATGATTCAGAGGAGAACTGGGTGAGTGTTGTGGTCAGATGAGACCAAAATGGAGCTCTTTGGCATCATCTCAACTCGCCGTGTTTGGAGGAGGAGGAATGCTGCCTATGACCCCAAGAACACCATCCCCACCGTCAAACATGGAGGTGGAAACATTATGCTTTGGGGGTGTTTTTCTGCTAAGGGGACAGGACAACTTCACCGCATCAAAGGGACGATGGACGGGGCCATGTACCGTCAAATCTTGGGTGAGAACCTCCTTCCCTCAGCCAGGGCATTGAAAATGGGTCGTGGCTGGGTATTCCAGCATGACAATGACCCAAAACACACTGCCAAGGCAACAAAGGAGTGGCTCAAGAAGAAGCACATTAAGGTCCTGGAGTGGCCTATCCAGTCTCCAGACCTTAATCCCATAGAAAATCTGTGGAGGGAGCTGAAGGTTCGAGTTGCCAAACGTCAGCCTCGAAACCTTAATGACTTGGAGAAGATCTGCAAAGAGGAGTGGGACAAAATCCCTCCTGAGATGTGTGCAAAGCTGGTGGCCAACTACAAGAAACGTCTGACCTCTGTGATTGCCAACAAGGGTTTTGCCACCAAGTACTAAGTCATGTTTTGCAGAGGGGTCAAATACTTATTTCCCTCATTAAAATGCAAATCAATTCATAACATTTTTTCCATGCGTTATTCTGTCTCTCACTGTTCAAATAAACCTACCATTAAAATTATAGACTGATCATGTCTTTGTCAGTGGGCAAACGTACAAAATCAGCAGGGGATCAAATACTTTTTTCCCTCACTGTAGGTATTATTCTGGTGTAGACAGGACATGTGAAAGGCCTTAGCAATGTCATCTATCCCAATTGTGAATGTGTCATTGATATCAGTGACAAAACTCTCTTCCCATTGTCTGTGTGCTTCCATTAACCAGGACCTTGTCAAGCACTGTTTTAAGTGTGGGGTTTTTGAGATTAATAATATCCTTTTGTCAAAGGATATTACAATGTGAATTACACCATTTCACCTATTGAGCTTTCCACTGGATGTGAGCAGAGTGGGGAGGAAGAAGTCTGCAATTAGATGTAAATCATTGAGGTGTACGATAACAGACGTTGGCTTCCATTGTAAGGTTTCTCCCCGTTTGAAAAAAGAGAGAAAAAAAACCTGTTCACAGCATCACTTAATATATTATGCACTTTTACACTGAACAAAGACAGAGGCTATTCCAGGTGTGTTTTCTCCCTGCCTTGCTGTGTCCAAAGCCCTGGCCAGAGGAGCCATGTTATCTTTTCCGGAGTCCTGCTGCTGCTTTTTCGTTCGATTGACGACCTTTTTAAGTTTGTTGCAGATCCTTATCAGTCTCCTGGTGTCAAGATAAGGGGTTTTGAGTGGAGGAACTGTGAATTTCTGCCACTGATCAAACAAACTCCATGTCATTGATCACCTGTAGACCGTTATCCTTCCATCATGTCATCTTCAGCACTGAGGATGCCACTCAAAGCCCTGTTCAAGTTGGATTGGACTGAGGGCCCTATATTCATAAAGTGTCTTAGAGTAGGAGTGCTGATCTAGGATCAGTTTTGCCTTTTTGATCACAATGAATAAGATTACAAGGACAAGGTGGACCTGATCCTAGATCGGCACTCCTACTATTAGATGCTTTATGAATATGGGCCAAGGCCTGCTTTTAGGCTGACACCCAGCGAGGGGGGCCATCACTATGTGGCCAAGCTACAAAGCAGGGCTCTAAGCTGACCTATTTTTACACGGAGCATGTGTGCGCCTAAATTGAAAAATATAGGCACACACAAAATAATTTGGGAACACAATACAACATATTAGAGGTAATACAGCTAGAATCCTTCATTATTCTAGGTGTACTGGTGCTCTTAAATAAAAATGTCAGGTCGCACAGCAAAATATTTTGCCGCCCTGTAAAGTTCTCTCCGACAATGGGATTTAACCACGATTCTGGTGATGAAGCCAACTAGGTATTTTGTAGTAGCACAGTCATCTATTGATTTCAGAGGAGATGTTAAGAGTGGAGGAGGAGAAGAAAGGAAGGTTATATAAGGTCTCTCCCAGAATTCACCTACCACTCCTGAAACTCAAGGGCAGATGGGGATGAATTTACAACTTCTGTTAAATTTAGGGAAACAGCAGATGTTCTGAGAGAGAGAGAGAGAGAGAGAGAGAGAGAGAGAGAGAGAGAGAGAGAGAGAGAGAGAGAGAGAAAGTCAGAGAGAGAGAGAGAGCGACAAAGACAGAGAGAGAGCGACAAAGTCAGAGAAAGAGAGAGCGAAAGAGAGAGAGAGGGACAAAGTCTGAGAGAGAGAGCGAGAGAGAGAGAGCGACAAAGTCAGAGAGAGAGAGAGAGCGAGACGGGTGAGTGTGGGGGGTGACCTTTACCAGAGGTCTGTGTCCTGAACGCCACTCTATTCCCTATATAGTGCACTACTTAAGACCAGAGACCAAAGTAGTGCACTATGGAGAATAGGGTGCTGTGTGCTGTTTGGGACACAACCAGAAGTCGACACTGACCTGCTCCACCCACACCCCCGAGCCCTCTTCCGGAGCCCACAGGATCATGGTCTTGTCCATGGAAGCAGAGAGCAAACTCAGAGACTGATGCTGGTCGCCACCTGTAGGGAGAGACAAAGAGCTTCACAATGAAGGAACACAGTAATGATATTGCCCCTTGCCCCCATTTTCCCCACTAATGGTTAAGGTTAGGAATGGGGCAGGGGAAGCTGATTCTAGATCTGTCCCTAGGAGAAACTTCTTCCTCTGAGCCACAGTACAGCAATGCAGGCTGGATGGATAAAACATAATGAAAGAACCGCAGCGGACAGGCACTGAGTGATGTGAACTATTAAAAGAGTTTAGGGTTCAACCATTCTGATTTCAGGGGCGTGTGGAACAAATCACTCTCCCTCCATCCCCATGAAATCATTTAGTATGGCACCTCCACATCACAGTGAAATAATTAAAGTGTGATCTGGGGACTAAAAGGCATATAGGTTGACAATAGAGTACCTTTGATGACAGGGGGCTGCCAGTGGACTCCATAGACCTTGTTCTCGTGGCCGGCCAGGACTGACTCTAGCGTCACTGCAAACGCTGAGGAGGCATCTGGGGCAAAAAGACAACATGCATACATTAATCTAAAGTACAACGGTATGATTGTACAATCACAAACTCCATCCACATTTGTGTGATAACTTATTCAGTTAAAAGGCATGTTTTAGAATTGTACGGTTGTTGCCAGGGATTGAACAATCCAAATGCCCCCTGATTAAAATAATAATACTACATTTAAATAGTAAGGCATCAATCCAATGAACACTGACAATGATGACATTCACATTAATGATCATGTGATTCTTGATTCTTCTTGCTAGACAGACATTCATTGTCCTGTGAAAGTGACTCAAACCTGATGTTTTGATTTAATCATGCATTTTTTATAATGAAATAATTCTAATGAACACATTTTTCTAACGAAACCTGATAATGAATGTCCGCTCACCGTTTTCTGTCAGTGTAAAGACATCTTCAGTCATCCTAATGGTGCGTTCATCCTGCGTGTTTCTCTCTGGCCCAGACTTGGCAACCAGCCTCCACACCCTGATCAGACAGTCCTGAGCACAGCTGGCCAGTAACAGATCCCCATCTGTCCAGCATGGAGGTAGACATTAGTTGATTTTTATTTAACCTTTATTTATTTCAGGAAGTCCCGTTGAGGTCAGAAGACATCTTTGACAAGGGAGACCCGATGGAGACTCGTTATTGTCACTTCATTTGATCTATTCCCTATATCCTCTGAGCAATAGGAGGGCTTTATAGAGGGAATAGGGTGCCATTTCAGATGCACTCTAGGTAAGACGGCTGAGAATACAATTTTTCCAACTACGACTACCTGGGGAAGAGAGAGAGGTTGAAAGAAAGGGGGTGATTAGGTGGCCATGGTAGTATGAGGGGGCCGGGTTGGGACTTAAGCCAGGACACCAGGGTTAACACCCCTACTCCTGTGACAAGAGGGGACCTTTAGTCACCACAGACTGTCAAAACCTCGGTTGAACCATGTCCTTACGAGGGTTGTAATTAAAAAGACTGATCTCAAAGACAGGGCTGTGGAGATAGCTGCTTGAAGGGTACAGTATATCTGAGAGCGAGGGGCACAACTAAAGCATTGACTGGGCCATGCTGCAGCCGTTTCATGCATTATGGAAAGACGTCCGTCTACAAAAGTAAAATCTAATTAAACAGACATCCCAGTCATAAAATGATGAATTTTCATTTTTCTTTTACCCTTTTATAGTGGAGAGAGACTGGAGAGTGATTTTGCAATGCCTGTGGGGCTGGTGCATATAAATGAATCTCTGACTGCATCCCAAATGGCACCATATTCCCTATAGAGTGCACTACTTTTGACCAGTCAAAAAGTAGTGCACTATATAGGGAAAAGGGTGCCATTTGGGACGCAGCCTCTCTCTGACACTACTGGCCGACCAGCTTGGAGTAAGTCATCAACTGAGTGGGATGAGTCCAGTGACGAGGGTCGGTGAAGGAGATGAAATAGCTTTTACAAACCCTGGTGTGCATCACAAATGGCACCCTATGCCCTGAATAGTGCACTACTTTTGACCAGGGCCAAGCATAGGGTGCCATTTGTGATGTAGCCCTTAACAGAGCACTGCTGGAGTACCTCTGGAGTGGGTTACACAACCACAACTAGCCAGCAGGATATACAGATTATACCAGAAACTCATTTTCTCATACCATCTCTGATTATTTGACAGATTTATGTATGAACTACACAAGTCACGCCAGATAAAACAAGGCAATGAAGAAACAAATGGTTAAAACACTGGTGTGGTCCTCACCTACACAGGCCCACTCCACACCACGGATCCAATCCTCATGCCCTTGCAAGGAGAGGACTTTCCTGAACTGTCAGAGACACAGGAAAAGAAGGTCAGCATCAATGTCAAAAAATATGTTTACACATCGTAAACCCAACATATTCAATGTATTCATGTTAACACGACATTACCTTTATTTGTTGGCCCATACAGTCAGCTACTTGAGCTTACCTGTCCATTGCACTGCGCATACAAATGGATTCTGCAATCGTCGCCCCCGCAGGCAAGTATGGGAACTGCAATGAGTGCATCGTGTTAGTCCTGCCACGCTTGCTGAAGTCAGGCCACATGATAACACATTTGCATCTGCCTCGTGTTTTTAAGACAGATTGAGTGGAGGGGGGGGGAGGACAAAGCATCAAACAGAGAACAGGCATGTGAAAGGGGAGTAGACATGACACGCGGAACACTTCAAGATGATCTGAGGTGTAGAGGGGGTTCACTGGCAACCGTCAGCAACCGCTGCTGTGGAAACAGCTTACCTCTGCTGCCTGGCAACCACGCTAGCGAGACATCCATCATGAATCCGCTCCCAAAGGATATGGTATGGGTGCACTCCGCTTCAGGGAGAGAGAGAGGAAGAATAAATAAATACAAATGAGCCTTTATAATAGGGCATAAAAATTTTGAAAAATCATTGGGCTCCATAAATCAACTGCTCCGAGATTATTTCATTAACTTACATTAACTCATCCTAGAGAGGTAAGATGGCTAATAGCTAGGCTAGTTCTATTGACGCTAGCTGCAGGGACATTTGTCAAAGGGTTACATATCTGGAAATTATTTTTGACAATAAATTGTGTCGTATCGCTTTGACAATGTTGCAATATCATTTTTGCAGTACTTGGCTGTACCTGCACCAAAACTACAATATTTTTCCTTCATAGCTTGTTCTCCATCTTCTTTTAAAATAGGGGGCCAATTTGTTTTTTGCACTTTTATTTATCTTGTTCCCCTGCAGCAGACGTATGGTAAGCAATATGTTTGGAACATCGAATCGCAATAAAATCACAGTATTGAATCGACAAGTATCGTGATAATATCGTGAGTTCCCTGGCAATTCCCACCCCTAATCCACATATCCATCCACATCGATGGAGCTGTAGTGGAGCGGGTTGAGATCTTCCAAGTTCCTCGCTGTCCACATCACTAAGGAATTAAAATGGTCCACACACACCAACACAGTCATGAAGAGGGCATGACAGCACCTCTTCCCCCTCAGGAGGCTGAAAAGATTTGGCATCTTGACTGGCTGCATCACCGCTTGGTATGGCAACTGCAAGGCAACCGACCGCAAGGCGCTACAGAGGGTGGTGAGTACAGCCCAGTACATCACTGAACCCAAGCTCCCCTGCCATCCAGGACCTCTGTACCAGGCGGTGTCAGAGGGTGGTGAGTACAGCCCAGTACATCACTGAACCCAAGCTCCCCTGCCATCCAGGACCTCTGTACCAGGCGGTGTCAGAGGGTGGTGAGTACAGCCCAGTACATCACTGGACCCAAGCTCCCCTGCCATCCAGGACCTCTGTACCAGGCGGTGTCAGAGGGTGGTGAGTACAGCCCAGTACATCACTGAACCCAAGCTCCCCTGCCATCCAGGACCTCTGTACCAGGCGGTGTCAGAGGATGGCCCAAAAAAATGGTCAAAGACTCCAGCCACCCAAACCACAGACTGTTCTCTCTGCTACCGCACGGCAAGCGGTACCAGTGCACCAAGTCTGAAACCAACAGGACCCTGAACAGTTTCTACCCCCAAGCCTTAAGACTGCTAAATACCTAATCAAATGGCTACCCTAACTCTATTGCACCTGACTATGCATACACTGGACTCCACCCCCACACATACTTGAACTGATACCAACACACACACACACACACACACACACACATTATGCGCACACAAATAAATAGCACACAATCACGCCACACACACCACATGCTTCTACAGCTCAGTCTATTATCTATCCTGTTGCCTGGTCACTTTACCCCTACCTATATGTACAGTGCATTCGGAAAGTATTCAGATCCCTTGACTTTTTCCCTCATCAATCTACACACAACACCCCATAATGACAAAGCAAAAACAGGTTTAGACATTTTTGCAAATGTATAAAAAAAATACATATCTGAAATATACACATTTACATACGTACTTTGTTGACGCACCTTTGGCAGTGATTACAGCCTAGCGTCTTCTTGGGAATGACACTACAAGCTTGGCACACCTGTATTTGGGGAGTTTCTCCCATTCCTCTCTGCAGACCCTCTCAAGCTCTGTCAGTGTTGCTGCACAGCTATTTTCAGGTCTCTCCAGGACACTAGTCCCATATAGCTCAGTTGGTAGAGCATGGCACTTGCAACGCCAGGGTTGTGGGTTCATTTCCCACAGGGGGCCAGTATGAAAAATGTATGCACTCACTAACTGTAAGTCTCTCTGGATATGCGCGTCTGCTAAATGACAAAAAAATTAATAATTGATTGGGTTTAAGTCCGGGCTCTGGCTGGGCCACTCAAGGACATTGAGACTTGTCCTGAAGCCACTCCAGTGTTGTCTTGGCTGTGTGCTTAGGGTCGTTGAACTGTAGGATGGTGTAGGTTCGCACCAGTCTGAGGTCCTGAGCGCTCTGAAGCAGGTTTTCATCAAGGATCTTCTGTACTTTGCTCCGTTCATCTTTCCCTCGATCCTGACTAGTCTCTCAATCTCTGCCACTGAAAAACATCCCCACAGCATGATGCTGCCACCACCATGCTTCACCGTAGGGATGGTGCCAGGTTTCCTCCAGACGTGATGCTTGGCATTCAGGCCAAAGAGTTCAATCTTGGTTTCATCAGATCAGAGAATCTTCTTTCTCATGATCTGAGAGTCTTTAGGTGCCTTTTGGCCAACTCCAAGCGGACTGTCATGTTCCTTTTACTGAGGATCGGCTTCGGTCTGGCCACTCTAGCATAAAGGCCTGATTGGTGGTGCTGCAGAGATGGTTGTCCTTCTGGAAGGTTCTCCCATCTCCACAGAGGAACTCTGGAGCTCTGTCAGAGTGACCATCGGGTTCTTAGTCATCTCCCTGACCAAGGCCCTTCTCCCCCAATTGCTCAGTTTGGCCGGGTGGCCAGCTCTAGGAAGGGTCTTGGTGGTTCCAAACTTCTTCCATTTAAGAATGATGGAGGCCACTATGTTCTTGGGGACCTTCAATACTGCAGACATTTTTTGGTACCCTTCCCCAGATCTGTGCCTCGACACAATCCTGTCTCGGAGCTCTACGGACAATTCCTTCGACCTCATGGCTTGGTTTTTGCTCTGACATGCACTGTCAACTGTGGGACCTTATATAGACAGGTGTGTGTTTTTCCAAATCATATCCAATCAACTGAATTTACCACAGGTGGACTCCAATCAAGTTGACGAAACATCTCAAGGATGATCAATTGAAACAGGATGCACCTGAGCTCAATTTTGAGTCTCATAGCAAAGGATCTGAATAGTTATGTAAATAAGGTGTTTCTATTTTTTATAAATCTGCAAAAAAATCTAAAAACCTGTTTTGCTTTGTCATTATTGGGTATTGTGTGTAGCTTGATGAAGAAAATGTTTTATTTAATCAATTTAAAATAAGGCTGTAACGTAACAAAATGTGGAAAAAGTCAAGGGGTCTGAATACTTTCCGAATGCACTGTACATAGCTACCTCAATTATCTCGTACCCCTGCACATCAACTCAGTATTGGTACTTCCTGTATACAGCCATGTTATTTTTACTCGTTATTGTTATTTGTTATTCACTGTGTATTTACTCCTCATGTCACTATTTAAATGTTTTTAATGTTTGTCTTTAACTCTGCATTGTTGGAAAAGGACCTGTAAGTAAGTATTTCACTGTTAGTCTACACCTGTTGTTTATTAAGCATGTGACAAATACATGTTTTATTTTAAAACTGACCAACGATCAGCGTCTAGGGGCAACTTCACCCTACACCACCTCACTTCGCTCTGTCTTACATAAAAATAAGCAGACTTTTGGCTAACATTGGGGTTTGTGTAGCCTAATCATGTAGAGACAGGGTAGTTGAGAGTACTACTGAGGTAACAAAATACAAATGAAAATGGCTGGGCGGCCCATGAGCCCTGATCAAAAGTAGTGCACTACATAGGTAACAGGGTACCATTTGGGACGCAGCCCATGAGTCCAAAGGCCAATATCACTGATCTGATTGCCTTACCCAATCTGACTCTCCTAAAGAGTTCCTTTACCTGTTCCATGTCATAAAAAAAGCATCAAGTAAAGTAGCCTTGTCCGAGCTAGTTTCCATCTCCTGTTTCTGTCGCGTGAGGCAGCTTGATGTACAAGTACACCCCCTGGACAGGACACTAGTCTATTGTTGGGACAAAAAAAGCTTCCCTTACCTTTACTCCCAGTGTAGAGCCATAGTTTGACAGTGGAGTCGGAGGCTGTGGAGGCGATGAGTAGCTTACTGTTGTCCAGGTGGATGGCATCCACAGCACACACTGGTCCAGTATGTCCAACACACTCAACACAGTGGTTAAACTGGGGCAGGGGAGCACAAACACAAAACATATGCCTTAGAAGAGATCAATATAAGTGAAACTATTGCTGTGTTTTGATAATGTGTCAAATGTACACAGAAGTGTCAATACAGATCATTAACGTATGGTATGAGGCCTATTCCTGCTTCTAGTGGCATTAACACACCTTCCCATCTTGGACCTCCCACACAATCAGTAGACTGTCAGACGCTCCTGACACCAGGTGAGTTTCTCTACCTGTAGCAGACATCAGGGAGGAAGAACCAACTGTCAGAAACAGTCTTTCAAAGCATTGGATGAAACATAAATCATTGGATAAATCATATAAAGCATATTATCAGCATATCAAAGCATTGGATGAAACATGAAGCATATTATCATCATATCAAAGCATTGGATGAAACAAAGTAGATTATCATCATATCAAAGCATTGGATGATGCATATCAAGCATATTATCAGCATATCAAAACATTGGATGAAGCATATAAAGCATATTATCAGCATATCAAAGCATTGGATGAAACATAAAGCATATTATCATAATATCAAAGCATTGGATGAAGCATATCAAACATATTATCAGCATATCAAAAACATTGGATAAAGCATATTATCAGCATATGAAAGGATAGTATCAGCATATCAAAACATTGGATGAAGCATATAAAGCATATTATCAGCATACCAAAGCATGCAGGTAGCTAGCTACTCACCACAGTCCTCTCTGTGGACCCACTGGACTGTGTTCACCCTCCCGGTATGTCCATTCAGGATAGCAACAACACCTTTCTCCTGTAGAATGGTATGTAAAGAGTAAAGCTGACTGTCACAGCAAATATACCTTAACCTATGGACCCCAAGCACAATTCAAAATAAAGCTGATTAACGTGAATGGTCAAAAATGACAAAACTGATGATGTAGCTAGCTAGCCTATGCTGCAACTGCAACGACACGAATACATTTAAATTGTGAAAGAGATATATAACCTGTGGGTCATAGAGAGCGACAGAATTGCATGTTCCATATGCAATGAGTCCCCCACGACCCCATGAAAGAACATTTGGGGTTCGATTTGCACAACATGCGACATGACATGTTTCTATTATGGGAGCCGCCATCTTGAATGCTAGCCGGCAGAGTTACCGTAAATATGGGTGTACACGCACCGCACACGATTCTACAAACGGCAATGGATAAAATGAACTGGAACACACTCTAGACTAACTGTATATATTTTGTTTCACTGTGGGGACAGTCGCTAAAGTATTGCTGGCAAACATAACCCACGGTTTATCTTGCAAATGAATAGTGTCTTAATGAGCAGGGACATTCTAGCTACTAAACTCGTCTGATCGCATTATTCGGTAGAATCCAGTAGGTGGTGCAATACACTCATTGAATAAAGTAATTGATATGATAACAAACTAATTGCAAATTAAAATATTTAATTTGGGCTGGAGAAAATATATAAATATATTATAGTGAATTCATTCAAATGATTGGATTTGAAAAGTGATGGGCATACACACTACTACCAGACGTAATAACATTGTGTAGCCTAACCTAGCTGGTTTGTGTGTTATTTGTATCACAAGTGAGCACTTAGGTTTTTATAAAACCATGGAATTAAAGCAAAGCTAAGCTCACTAAATGCATTCTAACTCATGTTGCAATTACCATAGCATACCATAGGTTTTAAGTTTTAGCATTGTTTATATGATTAAAGTTGTCAGGCTGTCCCCTTTGAAACACAGCTGTGTACTAGTGTTGTAGCATAGGCTTTGAATAGTCCAAAAGGACCTAGTGTGACTAAAGACAGTTTTACAGGGACCCCCAAAATAGTTTGACCTGTCATTTCTGGTTGCTCAAGTCATAAACCACGGCAATGGGAAAGACATAACTGGACTGTTTCTCTGGGAATGGTCTGGGATTTGGGATTCATTTAGTAAAAATAGAGGCTATATTGGATGTCAACATTTACACTGTAATAGGCCTACAGTAAGATGTGGTTTAGTGCTGTGGATGAGGGTTGTATTGATTTAGCTTTTTTCTGTGAAATACATAAGCCAGTGCTTTGAACACTGACGGCGGAATTAATGTGACAAGAAGAGTGTTGCAGCCTTTTGTTCCATTATGTCATGTGTCTCCACCGTATCCTCTGTACTGTCAGCCTTGCTGATTTGCATGTCAGAAGTTATAACATGCAAAGAAAGCAAGACGAAGCCATCTTCAAAGAGCCCAACATATACAGGGTCATGGCAGAGCTGCCAGCGGCATGTGATCACAGGCACACTGTATGAAAGGTTACTCTGGCAGTAGGCAACACACTGAAGTGATTGTATGTTTGATAAGGTTACCCTGTCTGTCTACTACACACTGAAGTGATGTGGTTGACCTGAGCTGGTCTGTCAGTTCTGGGCTGGTAGGAACTGCTCCTCCAGACAAGGTATATAGCAAAGGTCCCAGACGACAGTTTTGTCAGAAGCTGTTTAAAAACCACCTCTTGACGTGATCACAAGGAAGAAAATCGGTTGTCATCTCTGAATCCTCGGAGACGAGATGTTTCATGACTAAATAAAGCAAGGAGGACAAAGAGAGATGGGCTCCCATTGCAGGGATGGATGGATGGGTGAGAGAGAAGGCGAGAGAGAGAAGGCGAGAGAGAGAGAGAGAGAGAGAGAGAGAGAGAGAGAGAGAGAGAGAAGGCAGGTCCCGGAGGGTTGGTATTTGGACTCATCATTATCAACATTTCAGGAAAAAGAATCCCTTATGGACACTGTTCAAAAGTAGTGCACTATATAGGGAATAGGGTGCCATTTAGGATGCACACAGAGACACTCCAAGTGACTTATCTCAGTGAAAGTGACCTCTTGGGTGAGAAAACCCCCACAGATGTCATCTCAGGGGTAGCTGAGAGAACTGATGGGGGACGCAACACCACGAAAATCACATCTGTCAAAGAGACTCACCGTTTCTATTACCTCCCCCTTCCTCCTTGACAAGACAGTGCTCCTTTGTGTAGCCTAGACTGTATGTTCTGCAGTAGGCCCCTTCACTAGACTGTACTTTAGTCCACTTATCTATTTCAGATTGGATACTGGGACTATGATTGAATTGGAGCTATGCTGGATTTCAAAAGTGCCCCTACACAATAAAGTGCCAAAATGCCTTTAGAGTAGAGTGTGATAAACACTTTCTCTGTCCAAGGGACACATTCCTGTTTCACCCTAAGAATCATACAACAGCTACAATACAGTCTGCATCCCAAATGGCACCCTATTCCCTATATAGTACACTGGCCTCTGGCCAAAAGTAGTACAATATAAAGGGAATAGGGTTCCATTTGGGGCACGTGCAGTAACTCCCCCTGCTATTTCCTACTGCCACTAAATATGGCACCAGCCATTCTGAAGGCTTTGTTGTGCTGGCTCTTCAGACACATTCTGCATCAGATATGATCACCGTATTGTCTCTCCTAGCACCGGACAGATTGGGGAGCAGGTACAGCTAATCAATATGTCCAGCAGAGGTCAAACCCCTGTCATTCACAAGGGAGACGCAACCCCCGAAGTGTGTGTGTGTGTGTAATGTTATCCCTACCTGCACGCATCAGCTTGCAGAGCAGACAGACGGTCTGTAGTCTAGTGTGCAGGATAAAGAGAGAGGCACTGACAGTATTAATGAGCAAGTGTGGGCTTTAACGACAGCGGAAATACTCAAACAGAACACAGCAGCCAGATTACTGGCAGCAACGTCTGTGTCACTTTCTGCAGCCTGCTTTTGTTTACAGGCAATTCAATGATCCTAGCCCCTTAGGGCCTCTCTCTGGCAAACTGGGCATCGAGTGGCATGGCCATATTGGCAATATTGCACTGGCAGACTGGTAGGCACAATCGCCAGCTTGCACCTGTGCTCTCAAATGCCAGGGCAAAGGGGTTTAATAGTAGAGGTATGGGAATATTTCCACCATGCCCTTTCTGAGGTTGAAAGTAAAGGGGTTGAGGGGTTTAATGGTAGAGGTATGGGAATATTTCCACTATGCCCTTTCTGTAAGGATCCACTCTCTGGAAGCAGAAAAACGACTTTGTTTTTATGGTTCATGGTTGTCTCAGGGTCATTGCAGTGCCGTTACCCTAAAACCTACATACCTTTGGAGCAAAAAAGACATGGATGCTACAGGAAATTATATATGAAATCTGTTGTACATTTTTAGAACGTACATTCCATAACTCTATTTCAGACAAGATATGACACCATTGCATTTTTCAGTGAAAACTACAACTCAAACTTTCTTGGTGGATTACTTGAATAATCATATTCCTGCCCATGAACCCAATATCCCTGAGAAAATAGTTTAAAATCCTTAATCTGCATATCCCAGGAAAATTACTGACTATGCAGATGATTCCACGTTTCACTGTGCACAAAAGCACCCTCCTTTCATGATCTTTACATTCAGCTCAGCAGTTATGTTCCCAAGAGCCACACAGCCAAGAGGAACGATACAGAGTGAAATAGCAGTCAGCGGTTCTGAAGAGTTTAAAAACTTCAGCGGCAGCTGTTAGTAAGACAATCACACAATGCCGACACATCTTGTATTTAATGGCTTGTAGGCAGTGCTTGACTTGGGATGAAAGAAGTGCAGAAGCTGTATTTTTACAAGTCCGTCCATTAGATTATGTTCACCGAAATCCACAAATGATATGCTATAGAGACCTCTGATTATTTTAAGGGTTCATATACATTTTTCATGACTTCTCTGACTTTTAACCACATTTTCATGACTATTATTAAAGCCTGAATGAAAAAGTAAGCATTATTGACGCTGGAAGACTGCTGTGTCTGATCCCATGTAGGCCTTCCATCTCCTGCCGTTGTGCCCTTGATCAAGGCACTTAAACCCCCCCCCCCCCACACACACAAAGTTGTCAACATCAAATCAAATGTAATTTGTTACATGCGTCGAATACAACAGGTGTAGACCTTACAGTGAAATGCTTACTTACAAGCTCTTAACCAACAACACAGTTTTAAGAAAGAATACCAAAAAAAATCACTAAAAAATACAATATAAAATAATACGAAATAAAAGTAACAAATAATTAAAGAGCAGCAGTAAAAATAACAATAGTGAGGCTATATACAGGGGGTACTGATACAGAGTCAATGTGCTGGGGCACCGGTTAGTCGAGGTAATTGAGGTAATATGTAAATGTAGGTAGAGTTATTAAAGTGACTATGTGTAGATAATAAACAGAGAGTAGCAGCAGCGTAAAAGAGAGGGAGTGGGGGCAATGCAAATAGTCTGGGTAGCCATTTGATTAGATGTTCAGGAGTCTTATGGCTTGGGGGTAGAAGCTGTTTAGAAGCCTTTTGGACCTAGACTTGGCGCTCCGGTGCCGCTTGCCATGCGGTAGCAGAGAGAACAGTTTATGACTAGGGTGTCTGGAGTCTTTGACAATTTTTAGGGCCTTCCTCTGACACCACCTGGTATAGAGGTCCTGGATGGCAGGAAGCTTGGCCCCAGTGATGTAGTGGCCCGTACGCACTACCCTCTGTAGTGCCTTGCGGTCAGAGGCCAAGCAGTTGCCATACCAGGCAGTGAAGCAACCAGTCAGGATGCTCTCAATGGTGCAGCTGTAGAACCTTTTGAGGATCTGAGGACCCATGCCACATTTTTTCACTCCTTAGGGGGAAAAGGTTTTGTCGTGCCCTCTCCACGACTGTCTTGGTGTGCTTGGACCATGTTAGTTTGTTGGTGATGTGGACACCAAGGAACTTGAAGCTCTCAACCTGCTCCACTACAGCCCCCATCAATGAGAATGGGGGCGTGCTCGGTCCTCTTCTTTTTCCTGTAGTCCACAATCATCTCTGTTGTGTTGATCACGTTGAGGGAGAGGTTGTTGTCCTGGCACCACAAGGCCAGGTCTCTGACCTCCTCCCTACAGGCTGTCTCGTCGTTGTCGGTGATCAGGACTACCGCTGTTGTGTCATCGGCAAACTTAATGATGGTGTTGGAGTCGCACCTGGCCATGCAGTCATGAGTGAACAGGGAGTACAGTAGGGCACTGAGCACGCACCCCTAAGGGGCCCGCATGTTGAGGATCAGCGTGGCGGA